ACTTTCTGTAGTAACTCGTCGTTTTTCAGGCTCTATAGTTTTTCAGTTTCCTAGTCTGATCATGATCATGCTTGTAAAGTTTTTGGTACATACCACCACACCACACATACGTACCTATATTATATATATTATTACAAAATTACAGTGCATGATGTCCTGTTTGTATTGCAATAAAAGCCTGCTGTACCTAGTTATTTTGGAAAAAAAATAATTAAAAAATTAAAATTTATACTGTTTATTTCAATAAAAAATTATGAATTATTTGTCAATTTTCCCTAATCTTAAAATTAAAGATTTTATGGGTACTTTGGTAGGTAGTTTTTCATAGCCGTGAGAAAAAACTGACTGACGTATACCTACTTATGATATAGTACTATGTAAATACATACCCGCATTACATACCTACCTACTTATTTCTGTGCTGTAGGTAGAGCGTCAACTTAAAAATACGGTCGCTACCGCCACGTCTGATAAATATTTGTGGGCCGTTTCGCCTAAGTACTACACCAGAGAAAAAGAAATGGGTTGATGCTATTCTATGACAGTTTCACACGACAACCAACACTAATGATATAGTAGTATGCAAATATTTGCTAAAAATCTTCATGCTACGTCGCATTAAAGGCTATAGTTACATTCTGCAGTCGGTGACAGCGGCGATATCGCGAGAAGCCGTTACCCGCAGTGAACTTTACTCAACTTTAACTTCTTTCCAGAGATATTTGCCCAATTTAGCGTAGGAAGTGCTTGGTTTATTAGTACTAAAAGAGGGGACACAAAGTTGATATTTGAGACTGGTTACAAAAGCGGCGCCCAACTTTTTGTAACTTTTTCAAGAGACCCATTAATAAAACGGCAAGAGCGTGTCAGACACGCCAACAAATAGCATTTGTAGTCAATGTTTAAATATCGCATACTTATAACAGCAGCGTTACAATGTTGATTTTATTGCTGATAGTAGCTGTACCAACCGGAAATTGAAAATGTTGATTTTTCTAAAACTTGAGTAATATGGTTTAGGCCTGGGTTTAGGTAGTTCATCATCATTGGCCTCATAAGTACGTCTGTGACAGACGATTTATTCAGTGTCTGTGAGAGCTTTTGCATGGTTGTATAAGCCGATACGAGAGCGGCATGACTTTCCGCAGTTTCCGCACGCTCTACAAATGAAGGTATAGGTACGTAGTTGCATATTATTTTTAAAAAACCTTTTTTACATAGCCATGCAACCCCCCATAAGAGGGCAGCCCATGTCCAGCAGTGAACTGTTGCAGATGTTATGGTCATGGTATGGTCGTAAAGATTTTTTATGGCTTGTCTTTAAATTGAATAGTGCTATTTAATAATACAACGACTGGAATTTACAAAATGATGAGAGGCGGACAATATACCGGCATACCTATAACTAAGTAGTCTTGACTTGAGCGATGATATGCCGTTTTCGCGTTGTTTTGCCATCTCACTTCCGACACTAAGTGGATGGGTGTCTGTTCGGGCTAAATTAAACGTTCCATGCTAAAATATAACGTTTTATAACAGGTACTACTAGACTTTATTAATAGGTGGTGGGTTATAATTAGAAAAGTGAGATTTGAAAGCTTTTGCACATAATCATTTTCGTAATAAATAAATCATCTAGATAAAACGTTGTATCAATACATAGTATAAAGTAAAGTCCCTTCCCGTGTCTGTATGTATGTTTCCTTATATCTTTAAAATCCCTCAACGGATTTTGATGCGGTTTTTTTTAGTTTGTATAGTAAGTTAAGGGGCAGGTTTTTAAACATTCTTTACCTCAAATTTTAACCCCTAAAGGGGTAAAAAAGGGGTTAACAGTTTGTATGGGTAATCATTATTTTTAAATGCGATCCGTTTCAAAATTTGTGATTAGATCAAAGAACTAAAATAATTAAACACGTGTTTCAGGGATTTTCTATTTTTAATCCCTTAAAGGGTAAATAAGGGGTTAAAAGTTTGTATGGAAAATCTTTATTTTTAAATGCTTTCTGTTTCAAAATTTGCGATTAGATCAAAAAGCTAAAAAGAAGAAATACGTGTTTCAGGGATTTTCGATTTTTAACCCCTAAAGGGGTAAAAGGGGTTTAAAAGTTTGTATGGGAAATCATTATTTTTAAATGTGATCTGTTTCAAATTTTGCGATTAGATCAAAGTGCTGAAAAAATTGAGTACGTGTTTCAGGGATTTTCGATTTTCAACCCATAATGGGGTTCTTCTCTTCTTTTCGTGTGGGACACCGAGTCGTTCAACGACCCGATGAACCCTGGTGTCAGAGTTTTTCAACCGCCTACCACTTTGCAGGCCTCTGACATGGTGTGTAACGACCGCCATCATAGACAGCAACCGGGACCGACGGCTTAACGTGCCCATCCGAAGCAAGGAACCATCTTACTTGCGGACAATCAGGTGGTTCAGCCTGCAATGTCCTAACCAGACTGGGAACAAATTCACAAAGTGATAAATATCAACTTTGTGAGTGACCCCACCGGGAATTGAACCCGGAACCTTTGCGTGGCAGGCAGGCATGCTAACCACTGCGCCACATCGGCTGTCATCGTAATGGGGTGAAAAAGGGGTTAACAGTTTGTATGGAAAACCATTATTTTTAAATGAGATCTGTTCCAAAATTTGCGATTAGATCAAACAGCTAAAAAAAGAAATACGTGTTTCAGGGATTTTCGATTTTTAACCCCTACACGATGTAAACGATGGGTTGCAGCGGGTGAAACCGCTGATGGGCAGGTAAGTAGTTTTTAAATAAACTAATTTGAATTTCAGAAAGTCAGTCTTAAGAAGTAGGAACCTGAAAAACTACGAAATTAGTACCAACACATGTGAAAAGATCTATATTTAGATACCAAGTGTATGTACATAGCTGCAAATTCATTCAATTACTTTCTGCATTTGGATACGAATGAAAATAAATATTTTTGTATGCGATCCAGTGCATTTTGTAGGTACAAAAAACGCCAATAAAAACGCCATCACAGTTATGGGATTAAAGATTTCCCTTTTTCATGTCCGTCTGCAGATATTAAAAAATAATAAAGCTAACGAAAGCTTTTTTTGTGTGCACGACACTTACACTGTGGTATAGTCAAGCCCACATGCTAGACACTCAAACCACGAATATATCTATGTCTTTTTCGCTCAGCATAAAAAAGAAGAACAGTCCAAAGTCCGAACTGTCTAACCAGCCTAAGCTTTACTGTACATACCTATCCACCTAACTTCTCAATATTTTTATAGCTTTGCTCTAAAGGCCGTGGCCTTAATAGCTTCGAAAAAAGTGAAACTATTTCGCTCTATATAAGGTCAGGGCCGGTTTGGTAGTTTGAGTTCTCCCGCCCAGTTTGCTGATAGGTCAGATCTATCAGTAGCTTTTCATTTAACCGCGATTGGTTTACTCCGTTTGTGGTTGCACTTGGCTCAGGCACAAATTATAGAAACGGTGCGCGGGTGGCTCAGGTAGGTTTGGACAGATAAGCGCATATTATGACAATGAAACTAGCTTCTAAATAAGAGGATTGTTTATTTATATTTTCACAGGCAAAGGAAGGGACATAGTAGGAACATAGCAAGTTGTCTTTATGCGTCCCGCTCAATGTAATTCGGTATTTGACAGTCCATGTCGCACATTTAGCGAATGACAGCCGCACGATGATACATTATGAGAATGAAATTTTATCAGTATCAGCGCCCCGCGAGCCATTTCCTTAATTTGTGGTATCAGAATGACAAAAGTTACAAAATACATGCATGCATACTTAAAACGTAGAGCAAACTCGATACCGAAAAAGTCTCCAGATCAGCATATGCTACAGTAAAATTTTATATACAGTAGGTATCATCGGTATGTGCCGTGTGATGCCGGCATAGAATAGCATCAACTCATTTCTACCAGTGGGTGTCGTAAAAAGCGACTAAGGGATAATCATCCAAGGAATGGGCAGCAGCGTCCCATGTAAATGCACAACTTGAAATACCTACTTATTTATTTGATTGGCCGTAAAAGACACCTTGCACTGAGTAGGTATGACGGTACTCTCCGATAGGGGGAGGCTTATATTCAGCAGTTGACTGTTATGGCTTATGGTATCATCAGCATCAGTGTTGTAGTTTAGAGAATTTCACGAGGACGGTAGGTTATTATACATTTAGTTAAGTCATGAGTTGTCATACTGTATAACTGTTAATTATCCCTAATCAAATAAAATAAAAAAGTGTAATACTCACTGGGTGGAATGTTTCTACTGTAGTCCGTTGGAATCTGGTATGTGTTCTGGTCCATGTACAGGATCTGGCTGGAAAGAAGTTGCATTCAATAAGACACTTTCAATTTAGAAACCAACGACTTAAATCTAGATTTTCATAAAAAAGTAGTCAATGACCGGGACCGACTACTTAACGTGCCTTCCGACGCACGTAACCATCTTTCTTACGAGCTATAAGTTCAAGTCTTAATCAAAGATCAATTTGATGTTTTCCCATTAGTATCAAATCAGGGTACTCTGCGCTCAGACTACCAGAGATCCGAAATATTTTTTAGAGAAATTTCATAATTACAGCGTAGGTAGGCAAATCTGCGACTTGGGCAAATTTTATCTATCTATCCTTTGGACCACCCTACCGGGGCTTGTCTTTGGAAAAATTTGGCAAGCGTTTGTTTAGCATGGCTCTATCGCGGTGGGTGGATAGTAGTGTAAGTAGGTTCTCGAGTGGAGGCCACGCCTCGGCAAGCGTAGCCTCCACTCTAGCGTTAGAAGTTCACTGGCCAAATGGACCGATGCACTGCAAACCGGCCGCCAGCGGCTACCAGCGACTGGATGGCTAAAACGAGAGATTGTGTAGCGTACCCTGGGCGAGGCCTATAATATCTAGCAGTGTACTGTTCTAGGCTGACGTGATGATGGTTGCATATAACACCATAACACGCAAGCAGTAGTAGGGTAAAGAATTTTTTGGTCTCTACCAACCAACTAGTCTCGCTAGCCCAGTTGGTGGAGGCATCAGCAGTATAGATGCCGAAAGTCATAGGTTCAAATCCTGCCTGCGAGAAAATTTTGCTTGTTTAAAAAAATTATTTACACGGGAAGTGTTTCAAAAATTAGGATAAAGTATGAAGTGCGGTGGAAAATTTTGCAAGAATTCCTATAAAAATATACCTAACGCGGGAAGTATTTTAAAAATTAGGTTAAAGTAGGTAAGTAGGTTAAGTAGGTAGGTTGTTTGCGGCAGATAAACAGGCAATAGGTAGCTACCGCAATTCTCCACTAATACCTTAATGGGTTTAATCTCCAGTAATTGTCTCGCACCCAGTGTTAGCTTACGGTATTAGAGTGGTAGTTTATTAGTTCCTTGCAACAGATTATTAATAGACACGGAAAACTGAACACCGTTTTGTTCAAAATATGATAAAGAAGTATCTAATCAGAGCCAAATATCTAACTGATCTAACTAAGTCAAGTAGTTACGTATCGCAAAAGAAATTCTGTGAGAGAACGCAAGTTTGTCGTAGTGTTTCAAAATAAAGTCGTTTGTACAGTTATTTTAATTTAACGCCTAGGTATAACAAACTCAGAGAGTATGTGCTAGAAATGTATTTGAAATCAATCCTTCTTCTGAAGTGGCTGTGTTACGCAGTTTCGTAGACCCTTGTAGACATTTGCTACGACGCAGACAAAGCATTTTGTGTTGTAGCCACAAAATAGAAAGTTTACAAAAGGACCACTTGACCCTATTGAGGATTTTCGTGATTGACAGTTGTTACATAGACAGGATTGCTAGATTCAAAACGAGGACGTAGATCCAAATCTTATTATGAATCTGAGCCGATTTGAATGCAAGAAATATGACGCTCGTGGCAACCATTTTCTTAGTAACTTCCAGTTCGATACAGTAAACGTCAGTAAGCGTCAAAATCGTCACTAAACGAGCCACAACAACACAAGGCGTCCCGCACGCCTATCGTATTTGTGACAAGATCGCGTACCTCTTGTAGGCATTTGCTACGCCGTGGAAAGCAATAGTAAGGACCACAGCAAAAAGGTATTTGTAGTGTTGCTAATGTATTTAATGATGCGATAATCATGGAATAATAAGTGAATTTACAGACGAATTTTATTATCAGGGAATTACGGATTTTTCCAATATGACATCGAAGATGTTCCTCGCGAGTTGTCATATATATCGTATCTAAACTTCCGCGACATGTTACAGAACTTTTAGCTATTAGATTTTTTAACAGCTGCTTTATTTTCAGGGCTCTACCTACAACGTTACAGTGTAACTTACTGGCTTGCATATCAAGGTTACACAGATAATAACTGTTTGCTCTTAACTGTTGCACGTAAGAGTGTTGTATGTAATGCAATTACAGCCCTCCTTTGCTACCTCGTGCAGATAAGACAATAAACTGCAGAAAAGGCTTCGGGTTATTTATAGGATTAACTTTTATACGGTTTATAGATTCTATTTTGGATTATCGTCTGAAATCGATGGCTAGAAATAGCGCGTAAAGAGGTAAACGCAAAAAGAAGTATTGATTTCATAGTGGCTTGTCTAGTGTATGTGTTCGCTGCTAACCGTTTCCCGTGGGAATCAGACATATTTTCCCGTTCAATACAACTTTTAAAGGTTAATGACTAGGAAACTACAAAACATCACGGAACATACCTCTACAAGGGGGTGATTCATATGTACTATGAGGTTACTTAGTATGAGACGAATTTTGCTTTGGCGTCCCGTAGAAAATTACTCGGGCAGCCGATTTTTTGTATGAAAGGTACAAATTTTGGGGCTTTGAACTCCTTAGAGAAAATTGTTCAGTTTGACCTGCTGAGCTTACAGTTTTCGGGAAAGTGGGTCGTTCAGTACCACATTTTATTTTATTAGCTCCAGCATTGATAAAAATTACAGTTTTGTTACGTCTTCGATGGTGTAGGTTTACTAATCATACTTAAGCCTAGGTTTTAGTAAATAGATAATACCCGTAATACCTGTTATATCTAGTGTATACTAGGTATAGGTATACCATATCAGCAAATGTAAAAATGCCTTATTACTGAATTGAAAATAAGGAACAGAAAAATTACTGAATTGTTTGATTCTTTTCTGGGTTTTCAATTGAAAAACCTCTTATAGTTTAAGCCATCTTTACAGTCCAGTTTAGGCTGAGTAAGACAGTTTGAACTTTCAACCGTTCGTACCTATTCGTATGCGTAAGACTTATACAATGTTTTACCGACGAGCGGGCATTAATTCAAATGAACAATGAAAAAGAACAGCTGTTATTCATTTTGCTTGAATTGGTAAAGGTAGGTTTTCTTACGAAACAGTGTTTTTTTTATTTCACAGATGGCCCCATAGTAGATAAAGGTTGTATATCCTAAAATCATCAGTTTGAAACCCACTTGCCGGTAACATACTGTTTTGGCGGTTCGAATGTCGATTCGGACGTGAGCTTGACTGTAAATACTAGCCTTCTATATTCAATGGTTTGTCATATCCTATCCTTTCGTATAGTAATATTCTACAGGCAATAGTGAGTATGTGTTCGTTTCTACTACGCTCATAAACTGTTAGGTACCTATTTGAAAAAAAATATGAACTGAAATGAAATACTTAATAGGACCTGAAATAACATCCATACGTTAGTAACTTATTATTATTTTTAGCCAGATACGTCCCACTGCTGTCAGTAACTAACCGTGGGAAAATTCACATTCATGTTTTGCGTTTTTTTCGTGTCTGAATAAATAATTATAAATCTCGCAATCATTACGTAGTTTGTGAAGCGTTATATCATACAGTCACATGCATGATTCATATGATACGTAAATAATCAAATTAAACGTCGTGTATTTACATATTTGACAAAGCGTAGACAAAATAATGTTGATTCTGATAGGATATATTATTTCCTTAGCAATTAATTACGTAATATTTTCATTATATACCTACTATTATCTATCAAGGAAAAGAGACATTGATCATTCGGTTAATTAATTGTCTGCTAAAGTGAGTTTTGGATAATGTGTCATATTACGACGCAAATGTTACGTACCTATATCAGGTGTAGAATCAATCTATTTTTCTTTCAATTACTTAAAACAGTTGACAAGAAGAGCAAAGAATCCTGTCCGTGTTATTACAAAAAAGGTAGACAATATTGAAGTCGATAGCGCCAAATCGCATGAAAAATTAATTTAAACACTGTGATTTTATCTTATCAGAATCAAGACCAATATGCAAAGTATAAACAATTATTTACCAATTGTTGCAAATGATGTTCCCACAAATCTTAAAAAATATACTTTTCTTGATTTTAGACAACGTTATCGTAAACCTTTCATTATTCACGGGCAAACGTTATAAATCAACGTGACATCAACCTTGTGTTTAATAACTAACTAACTATTAACTATAGCTAAGTTACTGTTAGTTATAATTCAGTGAGGTTTGCATGTCATACCCAAGGATTTAACTCGAAACGAAGGAAATGAAATGGCGTCTTTACCTAACAAAACACAAAAACAGTATAATTAAGTAAGAGTTTTGTAACATTAGAATAATTTTGTAAATTATTCAAAACGACCGGTATTTAACACGGGCTGTTTTTAGTTGCTAGTCGAAAATAAACTATGCTTGTACAAATAATATCCTTTAAAATGTTGAACCTATCATATTTTACACATAATACCCACATAAGACCCGTTAAACTAATTATTATGTATGAAAGTAATCGCGAGTGCTTTAAAAGTTATATCCTATTTTACTTTGCAAAATGTTGTATCCTTAAAGTACCTACGGCCGTTTAAATACCCTATTATTTCACAGCTGTAAAACCCATACTAGAAGTTATGATAACAAAGAAAATTGTAGCTTATGCCAAATGATTAACATGACTGATGTCAAATACGGTTTATTTAGACAGCTGTACTGTAAAACACTTAATTCTCTATCTAATCATCATAACAGTCACAATAAAGTCCACTGCTGAACAAGGGCCTCCCCCAAGTAGCGGGGTATTTGCCATACTCACCACGCTTGGCAGGCGGGTTGGTGAGCGCAATGCAAGATGTTGCAATGCGATTGCGAAATTCATCCAGGAATTGAACCCCTGGATGAATTTATCCCTTAGTCGCCTCTTACGACACCCACGGAAAAGGTATATAAAACAGATTGATCCAGTTTTGTCATGACGACGCGGGCGTGTGTCAAATTCATCGTACGTTTATTCACCGTTCTTAGATAAGCAGTGTTCTAACGAAACTGTGTACGATTTCATTACGTTTCTAATAGATTGACAACTATCAATTTTGAGTGTTTTAGGAGTGGAAACGGTCATATAGAGATTTTGAGACAAAGGGTCAGACCATGGAGGCAGTGTAGGTATAACAGCCTCCATATTAAGTACCTAATTAGTAGCATTTAATAGTGAATAACCGTGAGGTGGTGGTTTACCTCATAACAGCATCATACATTTCTAACCGTGGGTGCCGTAAAATGTGATAAAGGTATGAATTCAGGGCAAGGGCAGCTGCGGTCCCTGTGAATGATCACCTTGCACTGCGCTCGCTTTTGGGGGAGGCTCATGAGCAGCAGTGGATTATGGTGACTGTTGAAGTCTGAGAGAATATATAAGCAAGTTAAAGAGTGCGCCTAAAAAGTTAGAACGGTTGATAGCAGTAAGCACACAACACAACAGTAGCAAAACACCAGTGAAAACACTATTGAACCTCTATAACTCCTCATGTATTTGACGTCGGTATCTATGGAGCAACTGCTTACGGTTTGATAGTACGACGCGCTCTACAGCTTGCTTATAGAGGTATATACTCTAAGGTTGAAGTAGTGTATTCGTTCATTCAGAATGTTACAAGTGTCATGGCATAGGTTAATCAGATTAAAGTATTAACCCTGGCTGATTCCCAAGGCTAGTACGGGAGGGTCGCCAAAACATTACACATTTGAATATTGTAGGTATCGGCGCATCTGCTAGTATTGTCAAACTTCCATCTGAACACCGTGTAATACTTTTTTTACACAGGGTAGCAAC